GGCAGGCAGGCAGGCAGGCAGGCAGGCAGGCAGGCAGGCAGGCAGGCAGGCAGGCAGGGTCTGCCAGACAAGATGCCAGAAGAGAAAAAGAACACCAAAGTAAATATACTGTATTTCTGCTTAGCAAGGAAAGAGAAGAAAAAGCAAAACAGGATTTGAGCAGCTCTTAATGGTAGCACCTTTCTAAATTATATCATTCTAGCTATGATCTTGAAAAAGTGGTACATATCAGCCCAATACATATCACCAATCTAAATACTGGTGTTCTGGTGAATAAAAATACTGACAGCTAATGACCAAAAAGAAATGCCTCTGCTTCTCAGTTGCTTCAGAAGCAGCTCTATTTTGCAGTAAAGATTTTAATTTTATACATTCGTGTTTAATGGCATACCATCATACTCTTCATTTTTTATTCACTAGAAAGTTTTGTATCAGTGTTGCAGTCCTTGCACTGATGAAACAGATGCAGCAATCCGCAATGGTTGGAAACCCCTGTTTCAGAGTGTAGTTTGCTTTTAAGTGGACAGCTACACGGCAGCGCCTATCCAACTTTGGCTGATCTCAGAAAACTAAACAGAGTCAGACCTAGTTAGGACCTGCAATGGGACTTAACCACAAAATCCCAGGGCTAAAGGATAGGCTCAAAGGTTAGGGGGGGAAACATTCCAGAAGGTGGCAAATCATTTCCATATTGCTGCCAAGAAATTACAAGGAGCTGAGCTTGATTTGAGAGAGGCTTTACTTTTTGCTTTTATGAGCATTATTTATTTCAAACAGCCAGTGCAAAACAGCCAATCCAGCTCTGGGCCCATGCAATTTAAAAAAAAAAGGCCATTCAGTGGCAAATTACACAATTTCCTGACAGACATAATCACATAATAAATTAGTGATATAATGACAAAATACATTTGACCACAAGGATTCATACCTCTTTCTCCAGCTTCCTCTCTAATAGTTTCTTGTTTCCCTGCTTCCCAGCACTACAGGCCTTTCCCGACTGCTAAAGTGAAGTGCTCTCCACCCATTTTTGAGTCTGCAGAAAATGATAATGGATCCCAATTACCAATCACCAGTCTGCTGCTACTGCCTCTTCCCAGTCCTTGCTAGATACCAGACTTTCCTCCGAGGTAATAGGTGACAAGCCTAACGGATTTTAAACACCTTCAGGCTGCATTTGAATGGTGTTGGAATAAGAGGGAGAACACAGTTTTAAACATTTTAATACTGGCACGAATTAAGGATAACTTAAGCCTGTCTCACTCATGTGCTGGAGATGAGATGAAGGCAATATTATAAAGACATAACAGAAAAAATGATTGTCCAGTGCTTAGATCCAAGCGGGAAAAGGCCCTCCATCAGGCATCTTAGGGTGAGCATGTGCCTAATTTATGGAGAACAGCCTTACAGTTGATGGACAGTCAGAAGATAATACTGAAAGTACCCTCTGTTTAAAAAACTGAATAGTCCAAGTCCTTTTTACAGATCCCTGACAATGAAGAAGAGGTATTTTGAAGATGTCCATCAACAATTAACACTAGAACAATAAACAGAGTAGGCACCCCACTCACAAATTTCCCCACAATGGCTATGTGTAATACATTTTTAGTAGCCTAAATGTACATCTATGCATAAAATTAAGCAAATGTAAATGTATGCAAATTGTTGTCCTTTCTTGACCTCTTTTTGTATTATTAATTTCTTGGAGGACATGTGCTAATGGTCATCTTACTTACTTCAATAAAATCAAGAGGATTTCTGAAGGATCAGATTTTTTTAGATAGTTAAGAGTAACATTTGCAGTCAGTTTAAAAATAAACCCCACACAAACCTGCAATATTTATTGGCGTGTTGGTTAGCTCACCAATGACTTGTCTGATTATATTCAGTTTATCAGAGACCTCATAGGATATTTTTTTGTTTTCTGTTTCAACATACAAAGGTCTCATACTGTCTTTGGTACAAATTTGAACTGTTTCCTGAAATTATAAAGGTACATTATTTTCTTCAGACAAGGAAATAATTGTGGGACAGAATTCAAAATGATATGCATAGAAAAAAATGCTCTCAAAGCATCAAAGAAAATAAAGTATATGTAAACAAAGCAAATAATTTATTCTTTCTATTCAACTAATAATTCACCTGCAAAAATAACAGTTGGGCATGCATGTACATTTTATAATCCTGCTGAGTGGATTTACTCACTCACTCACTCCCTTCCTTCCTTCCTTATATTTATTTAGCCACCCATCTCACCAAAATGTGACTCTGGGTGGCGTACAACATAACAATTAAAACTCCACAACAATCTAAAAACAGTCAAATATAAATAAAATAAAAATATCAAATTATATGTTTATAAAGTTATTACATATCTGAAAACGCAAAGTACACATGCAAGCTAATTATTTTCCCTGTAACATTTGACTCCATAATCCTCAAAAGCATGTTGATGAACAGTAAGTTTTCTTATTAATATGTAATAAAGTTATACATGACTGTTGGGCCTATTTTTTTTTTTTAATGTCTCCCTAAGGTGCCTTACATGGACTCAGTTAAATGCTATTATATAGCCTGCCTGTTCACTGAACAACTTGTAGCATAACTGAATCTTATGCAGGTTTTAGGAAACTCCATTAAACGGCAGTGAAAACATTTTGAAGTTATGTCTATAAACAAGCTGAATTTACAATACTGACGTTAAGTACCAGACTGATTTTTGGTCATATGACTACTTATATACTATTTTTCTACACACTGTACATAATGTAAAGTACATTGAATTAATGTGTTTTATAAATGTTTACTACAGCAATGAATGCAGTTTCTGCTCTGTCCACATTCTCCAGACTTATTTAAGTCAGTATTAAGTGATGACAGAACACCACTTAGGTTACCTATTGTCAGTCCCAATATCTCTACACCTTACACACCATCCAGGCATCAAGACATTTTCTCTGGTTCCTTGGCAAGAATGGCCCTTCTACATTCTGCACCAGTTCAAATCAGCTCACAATCTGTCTGATCTCTTGATGCCAGCTGTTTTGAAAACCTGTTAATTTATAGCTCTGTGACAAATATATCTGAAACCAGAGCAAAGCTGTTTTGCCTCAGCCCTTTCTTGAATTCAAGGCAGCTGTTACGTCAATATCCTATTCCTGAGAGCCATCTCTCCCTCTCCTGCACTTCAACTGTTGCAGCAACATGCAACCATGGACGTAACTATTGGAAAAAACACCCATCTGCAAAGCTACCAGCATGCTTCCATTTGTTCATCTATTTATTAGATTTATATTCCACTTTTTCCCCTGGAGCTCAACACTGCACACATGGGGATCTCCCTTTGTTTTATTCTCAGTGCATCAACTCTGTAAGGTAAGTTGGGCTGGGGGGAGGGGACTGTCACTTAATGAGTTTCCATGGCTGAGGCTGGATTAAACCTGGATGGTCTCTTGAGTCTGGTCCAACAACTTAACCACTATACCACAATGGCTGTTACCACCACAATTTGCAAGAGGTTTTTTAAATGTAAGAGGAAAGGCAATTTTACAGGCAGAAAGCTTCTCTTCTTAGCAACATTTTGTTTTGTTTCTGTTTTACGTATGACTACACAATGAACCCAACATATAATAAAAACCCAGATTGGTTTTATATCTCTTTTTTTATGGGGAGTGGAGTGAGGAGATTTATTACTCCAAGACTGGCATTAGCTTGGGGCAGGGCACTGATTAAATGATGTTCTTTACCATCTCCTACTGGTTAGCTGGAAGGAAGACTGATTGGGTCACAATATTTTATGCATGTTCTCTGCTTATTGAGTTTTGCAAAAGAAGGTAATCATGGGTTAGCTTCATATTGCTTTGTGAGGGATAGGGGACTAGGAAATATGTGTTATGGAAGTCCCTAATGATATATCTATTTTTTTTCCCTTTCCTGCCCTGTCTATGAAAATGGATATGGAGTATGTATTGACTGTGTTCACACATACTGAATTATAGGGTGATATGCTTAGTTTTGGCATAGCATGAATTCAGCCTATTTATTCAGTAAATTATAATTGAGTCACAAATGTAAAATTCCTGTATTGATTAAGCAGCCCCTATCTCTTCTTCCATCCTCTGTTAAATTACCTCTTTCTCTCAATTCATTTACATTTTCACCCCTTTCTCTTTCATTCCCTTCCTGTGCAACTATGCTTTTCCTTATTCCATCTCCATCTTGGGTTTTTTCCCTTTTTCTTTTCTATTGTTTCTGCTGGAATGGAGGGGGACAATCTGTGTGTGTAAACTTGTATTTTTCCATGAGGTAAAATGATCTGTGTGCAAGAGACCGAGAATGCTTGAAGATAAGTTAATTTTGTAAACAGAGCATCTTATTTTACAGGCAATTAATTTTAATTAGCATTATTAATTCAATTAATATTAATCAATTGCCAGAACTGTTTATGCTAGGGACAGGAACTCTGCACGGAAAGTTAGGAACTGTACATGAATTTTGTGTGGTTTTTCCCTCTTTATCTGTGTAGGGGGATTATTTTAAATATAGGATTGACTTTATTTCAGATTAATATGGTATTATTTGACCATATCAAAAAACTATGCTACTCAGAATGGCATTTGATTACTTTTCCTTTTCAGTGTACTGTTTGTAATTCTATGTGCATTTCACATATGACTTCTGTATGTAGGGTTAACTATAAACATCTATATGCACAGCTCAGAACAAAGAACCAACCAAAACAGAAGTGTGAGTTATGCAGAATGTGCAAAATAGCTCTTCTACTATCAAACATTAAGATAAAGACTGTAAACAAAAATGCTACATGAGATACTTAAGCAACATCATTAAATAAAATTACTGCATTACTAAAATTACTGGGGAAATTGTTACGTAAATTGTTCCTGTAAACTACCTGAAGAGGGAAACAGATCCATATGTAGATTTACTATGGATAATTGTTAGCAATATCTATGTCAGAAGAAAGTTATTTTGAAAAAAAAAGTGGATAATTGATCAACAAGATGTTTTATTAGATAACAAAAAATAATCATTCTGTATTAAAAAAAATCTAAAAAACATAAGTATATGTCAAGTTCCTTCTCTCACTTGCTAAAGCTTACACACTAACATTTCTAAAGCTTTAAGGAAATAAAAGACTAATATGTGAGCCAAAACAAATTCAAATGGGTATTAAATCAATATGCAAGATCTCTGAGTTCTGAAGCACAAATAATCATCTGGTCATTTCATAATATAAAGTGTAAAATTACCATCAGAGAAACACCTTCTCCAATAGAAGAGAATGAGAGAGAGAGACACCTTCTCTTTTGAACCATAGAACAACTCAATTTACCTCAAATCCACTTCCTGGGATTTACAACTTTCAACCATCTTAATTTCTTGCATTATCACTATGAGCGGAAGTCAGTGTTGATTTCTGTCATCTCTCCCATACATAGCATATTTTGCTTGCTATTGAGAACAATGGCCATTTTCCAGAGATAATCATCATTACTTCAGCAAATGCTGTATGGAGCAAATTTTCTTTATCCTATGCTTGTTATCATAAAAAGTTACATTGGATCATCCACTTTTTCAGATTCTTCAAGTTGCTACTTGCTGGACAAAGAATTAAGTACTTGATAAATTTGAATCAAATAAGCCAACTTTATATTCCTTCCTTTTACCTCTGAAAATCTTAATCATTAGTTCATTCAAATATTGTCATAGGATTTGATCTCCAATTCTTTTTTGTTCTATCATATAGGCTTCTTTGAGGCTTTAACAAGCCTCTTTTGTAAATCCAATAAAAAGACATTATCCAGGTAATTCTCTTGGTTTATCATTAGCATTTCCCCTTTAACTTTTAAAATTTCAGCCAGCTTCTTTTGTACATCCAATAAAGAGTCCTTATCTGGGTCATTTTCTTGGCTTGTCACTTGTAATTCTACTTCAAATACCTTCTCTGCCTTGTAATCCACACTTTTTTTTAATCCAATATTTCTGATTCCACTATTTCTGCATCAAGCAAGATTTGTTTCACATCAGTCATTCCTTCATTAACATCCCTTAAACATAATCTGTCCATAGAAGCAGACATCATTACTGCTACTATTTTTTAAAATAAATTTTTATTAAATTTCAGAAAACAGTAAAATACAGAGAAATCAAAGAAAATAAAAAAAATAAAAAAAGGAAAGTACAGAAAGAAAAAATGATAACTTCCAACTTTCTCTGGTACAGGTATAAGTATAAAATAAAGTCACTTCCTACTCCAACATCTAAAAAAAAAAATCACATAATAAAAACTATCCTTTACTCTGACATTAAAAAGAACTTTGCAAAATAACTCTATACCAGCAAAAATATTTAAAAAGTAATACAAGACATTTCTGTAATTATAAAATAAATCAGTCATCAAATCCTGAAGTCAAAATTTCATTTTTTGTGTATGAAGTAAAAAGTCCAAGAGTGTTTTCCACACAGAAACAAAATCAGACAATGTCTTTTCTTTAATCAGGGTAGTCTATTTCACCATCTCCACTAATTCCATGTCAATATCCATTCTTCAACTGTGGGTATTTGTAAATCCTTCCATTTGCGTACATATAAAAGTCTTGCTGCTGTTTTCATATAAAGAAACAAATTTCCATATTTTCTATCTGTTTTTCCACCATACCTAAAAGAAAGGTCAACTAAGTGGTGAATGGGATTTTTTGTGCCCCAAACAAAGCCATGGAATTAGGTTATACTAACATAATGGGAATAGATGAATCATACCATTAAATCCCTCATGCGCCTCAATATTACATCATTTGTATATACAACAATCAGTTCAAGCAATCAATTGTGTCTTAATTAGTAGTCAGCAGATATAATTCTGAAGCTGTAGTAACATGACAGTCATGGCTTATGTGTATGATTTGCATCAACTGTGAACAGTGAGATAGATACATACAGTAATTGGCTTCCAGTGCTTTCAACGTTAGCAAGAAAGGATTAGTCACACCCCTTATATCTATTTTGTTGTGGAGACAATTTAAATGTATCTTATTTAAACCTGGTGAATTAGACAATTGTTTGTTTATGTGGAGTTACAGTGCCTGAGTAAAATTCCAGAGGAAATGTCCCTTCGACAGCTTACCTGCTGAGGGGGAAAAAGCCAGCCATATGCAAAAACTTATAACCTTAATTAGCCTTAAAAGTTACCTCATGTATTGCAGGAAAAGAATCAACCCATATTTTCCTTAACCCCAAATTAAGAGAAGAAAAAGGAACAGGGTGCTTAAAGCACAATTATATCCACATAAAATGAGGTAGGATGGTGTTTCGTACTTGATCATATCCTGAACATTCATCACATATATACTCTACTGTTTGAAAAAGAAACATAGGTCTGCAGATGCATGACAAATACGTAATTTGAGCTGCAACAGGCTGTAGCTCCAAGATTTACGTCTGTATATATACAGCTTCCCTTCAAACCAAATGGCTGATACATCACAGAAATTGAACTGTTTTCGGTAATTCCACTGTAGCAAAGTGTCTTTAAAATCTATTGATTATAGTGAAGCTTACATTCAAATAAGTGTACTTACTTTAGACCATTTTAGAATGGTTTAGACCATTCAGACTCAATCTGAAATGCACCTCTCCATTGGAAAGAATGCCTAAATGTTGAGTGTTCCCGTAATACTTCTGTGCTGTGCAAAAATGTAGCTGACCACAAAATTGTTCAGTTTCTGATGACACAGAAATGTCAGATTCTTTTCTCTTGCAACTACTACTTAATGTTATCACTCAGGCCTTTAACACACTTACTTTACTAGAAAGACTTCCCTGTTCCCACTACCCAACCCAACCCAACCCCTCAAAAAGCTGTGTGACATCAAACCATAATAATCTTCATTGCTACCTACCTCAAAAACATAAAGGACACTAAGGTGAGAGAAAGGAGCAGTGATGCGTAGTAAACCTAAATTTCCCACTAATGGGTTTTGGAGGCAGAGTGAAAAAAGAAAGGCTGCATCTAGGAAAACAGATTACCCCACTCTTCAGAGTTTTTAGATAAAAGCACTACATTTGCTGCACTTTCACATATACCACATCTGGGCTAATAGTATATTAATGCAGTTCCAGTTGTGAGAACAGGCAGGTTCTAATTCCCAACTGCTGCTAAGACCCCAGGTGGAAATGCCCTAAAGTTAAGTTGGTTTAAACATTTTTTTAAATTAATTTTGTAATAATGTAATATTTTTTATTTTAATTTTAAAAAATTTAAAAAATTACTTGCAAAGGAACCAGCAATGATAGAAGCACGATACACTTTAGAAATATATTGCACAGAGCAAGCGGTGAGCTCGATTTTCAGTGCCATTTTCTAGAACTACTAAAGGAGCAGCGCAATTAGCCCTCTGGAAGGGCTGGGCCTTACTTGGACGTCATTTAGATTTCAGTGGGCAAATTGCTGTAGATTGGATGTAAAAGTATTTGCAACTGAACTAAAGTATTGCAATGTCCTTTCCTGAAACAGGTGATCTTTCCACAAAAAAACAAACACAAATTTGTAATTCTCAGTTCCCGGCGTGTCTGAGGGACAGAATCCTACCGAGATACAGTTGCTTTGCTATAACCTCTGGCCTCCAAGAAGCAAAGAACTTCGTAAAGAGATCGAAGCAAGCGACAAAGACAATGCGCCCACGGCCCCGAAGCAACCCAGACCCCGAAAGCTAACCCGGCAGACATTCGGCTTCCCAGTCATGAGCGCGCACCGGCGGCCCTGGGGTGCAGCCTCAGGAGCCGCTTCCCGAGCAGGTAGCGGCTGGTGGGAGTTATAAGTCAAAGCGCCCGCTCTATTGGGAGCCTCCGGCGTGGTCCAGCAACTCTCTCTGCGCCAGTCCGAAACTGGAGAGCCGAAAGTTGAGATCCTCCTGCAGTTCTCCCCTCCAGCGGAAAGGAGTTACGCGTAAAGCCCGCTTCAACGCGAGCGCGGTTGGGAGCCTTACAGCATCGCCCACCGCTTTTCATTTCTCTCACCTCCAATGCTGCTGAAAGTTGCATACCACGCCAAGAAGAAGGCTGCGCTCAGGCACACACACTTCAGGGCACTGTTCAGCCTGAGCCTCATCTTCAAGTCACCCTGGGAACGCCGCGGGTGCCTAGCTCCGCGCCGCGCAACAATGGCGCGTCACCGCCTTCTTTGCTGTCTCTTGGCGGCGGAATGAGGGAGACCCGCATCTCTCGCCGGCGGTTCCAAGCTGCTCCTCGATGCGCGAGACAGCTAGGGCGCCTTTTCCCCGAGGTCCCGCAGGGAAGGCTTCTTATTGGTGACCCCGCCTCTCTGATCTCGCAGGTGTGCTGCCTGGGATCACATTTCGCAGGGCACTTATCCCAGGTTTTCAACCGCGGGGCCCCAGAGTCCAAGCTGCTGCGCTAGCAACCAGTCACCCCCTTACAGCTCTTTCGTTCCTTCGGGAATTTAATCGCAGGTGCCACCGACCACTTTGCCAAGTATTATCTGCAGGATTCTGGAGTAATCCCAATGAGATTCAGTGGAAGGCAAATCAGGGAGGAGTTCCCCATAATGTGTCAAGTTGTTACCCCTCTTGCTATCTTACCTTTGGAGAAAACGTTTGACTAGTAATCCTGGGTGAGCAAATATGCAAAGAGGGTATCAATTCTAAAAAAGGATTCTTTTTCTTTTTAAAATTTTCCTATGGGCATTTATAACATGTAAAATGTATGTTAACATTCTGCAATCAATTCAAAGGGAACTAAAACTGTCAGCAAATCTATAGCTATTCAACTGCTGTGTATATTAAATCTGGATAGACAAATATATGCCCACTCAGCACTAGTAGCAGCACTAGTCCTGATACATCTATAAAAAGGATTAGACCTGATTATTACCTGTACTCGGAAAGGAGACAATGAAATGTCAAGATAGGCGAGACCAAGAAAGTGAAAAAACATCTCCGATTAAGGCACCAGCAAGCCATTTCAGGAATACTGCTAAGAAAAATACATGGACACACCCATGAAATCATCAGGATAAAAATTCAAATGAGTCTTTATTCCTTACATAGAAACATGCATACACTATACTCTGTAGAAACAAGGCAGGGAAAGTATGCGCTGCATGGTGTCTAGAATTCTTTCCAACTACTCTTCCAACAGTGGCCCTAAGAGGCATCTGAATTTTCTTCTGTGTAACAAAGCAATAAACTCCCCTTGTGTGTGTTATCCCTTTGTGCTGCATCTGGGTGTGTAGGTGGCCACTAAAGAGAAGAGGGCCGACAGACTGCACACACTCCATTAGGGATCACGTGACCAGGGAATGGGAGGCATAGAATGGAGAAGTTGCAATATCAAAAGCCACTGCCCAGCTACCTCTTTCACAGGAAGGCACTGGGGTATTTCTTTCTGGAATGTTGTTTTCTGCAGACCCTGGTTTGATCTGGCCATTTTTTAATGTGATATTTCTTTTGGTTTCTCCAAACATCAAATTTTGTCTTGCTCAGTTTTTGGAGAGGCATACTGTTAATGGCCAGATGGACAGAGTTTTGAGGCTCATTACCTGATGTCTTTCCCTCATTCTGTTGAGTAGGAAAGAATAAAAGGCAACTCTTACAATTAAATGAATGTTAATGGAAAGGTTTAAGTTATTCTATATTCACTTAATCAAATTAAATTGTTTCATAATAGATCTGCAATTTGAACCTAACTGAAGATTTTTAGCATTTTAGCATATTGTCTTATAAAAATTAAGCATACTAACAGCAATATCTTAGTCCATGTACACAAATGATACAAAAATTTTAAAAACCATCTGAAATTTATCAATTTCCAGTGGAAATTGTCAAGTATCAGAAGAGATAAAGGCCTACATTTCTGTAAAACCTTGGTTCAAGCTCAGAATTTGGGGTTATTGTTGCAACATGCATTTTGAACTGTTAATATTAATGTAATGGAACTAGGTGACCATCCTCCTGTTCAGCCAGATCTGACTGACCACTGTTTAAGAACACCAATATAGAGGATCATAAGAGCTTTTATGTTCTTAAATTCAAGTGTTTGATTTTCACAGAATTTTATGCTGTGATATTTGTACTTAAATTTCTAATTCATTTCTAATGTTATTTCATATTTTCTGTTTCTTTAAATTTAACTATAAACAGGTATAGAGCAGTTACCAAGATGCATATATGTTCTTCCTATGTAATGTTGGCATGATCGTTTCAAACAGATTGTTTTAATAGAAATGTGATAGTGAGGTAATTTAGATTCAAGCTAAAATATTTTCTGTAAATTGTAGTTTATAGCACAGGCACTTTTAAGCTATTCATTAATATCCTTAACTTGTATTAGAATTACCTTCCTGTATTAACAATTTACAATGACAGTTTTACTACCCCTCTTAATAGTCATTATGAATCATACATGATTATTTGTTTATGGTACCCATGAGTGTACTAGAGTGTGTAATGAGTGTACTTTTGTGGCAACATAAATTGCTTTTTCTATAAAACTTGCACTGCAATTTCTAGAATAAGAAATCTATAAGTACCGTAAGTGGAGAATGAGAACATCAGTGTAAAGGAATCATATTATTTGATATCTATCGACTTTGGTGTAGAGACATATATTTTATAATTAGAAACAAAATTATTGGTGTAATCAAACTGGTGTTTAAGTTGTGGGCATTTACATTGTGGAATGGTATTAGAATGTATACACCAATGTATACACCAACTATACATTTCTATAATGGGCAGTTCAACCAAATGCATCTTGGACTGTAAATGATTGGAGTGGAATTGAGTAGATAACATGAGAGTGCACGTCCCATCTATGTTTGCTACAACTTTATAATCTATGAAAAGGATTATAAATTTAAAAGGAAATAAAATTAAAAACATATAAAAATTCCACATAGTGGCATGTTAGTCTTAACTATTAATTCACTAAAAGTTCTAACGTAATAGTCTTATTAATAATGTAATGAATAATGTATTATTTGTAGTGTCAAAATATATTATTGTTGTAAACAGTTCCTGAGAGTGACAGTTGTTTAAAGTTGGACAATGGGTATGTAAATATCAGAATTCTACTATAAAATATTTTTAAGTGTATTAAAAATTGAAAAGTGATTTTTTTTTTAGTAATATCCTATGGTGAAGAAGAAATTTGAGGAAGCAGCTGGGGGCACACAACTCTGAGTATGTGCTTTGAGAACTGGAGACTGGCCTGCTGTCAAAAAAGTTTCAATTCTAAACATTTCTAACTTTTGATCTGAGCAATTTCAAAACCTGTATGTGCTTTATACAGAAATTATGAGGAATTTGCTGAATTTAGCAAATAATATGGATAAATAATATGGACATACTGTAAATATTGGCTTGGCTCACTGCAAGCCTTTTATTAACATTTTCCAGTACCACTAGTACCTTCTTCTTTCTCAATTCTCTCACAAGCACAGAAAGCCCAGCACTGGGAAAAGGGAGTACTCTTATTGTACTGAAATCTGGAGAAAGTAAAGATTAAGCTTTTCTTATAGAATTATTTCTGCAGATTAGGAATAGAACAGCAAGGGTGGTGATGGTTCTGCTTAACTCCCTGGTATTTGTGTTGTGAGATTGCTCAACCCTTTAAACATTTATATGAAGCCAGTGAGTGAAGTCATCAGGTTATCTGTCATAAGATGGCATCATCAAAATACTGATGATACCCAGCTGTTTTTCCTCATCATCTGAAGCAGGAGATGGTGGCAAGATTACTATATGCAGAGAGATGGAAAGGTTCGACATTACCCACTATGGAGGAATGGTTGGTGAAGTTGACAGATTTTGCTGAAATGGATAAATTGACTTTTTTGATTAGAGAAAAGACATTATCTACAGTTATTGATGACTGGAAACCTCTTATGGACTTTTTGCATAAAAATGAAAAAAATGAACTTGGAATGATTAGATAGAATAAATTATAGAAAGAAGAGTAACATGATGTAACTTTAGAGAGAGAGGTTAAAATATATTTGTACTTATAACTGCTATGAATAATATTAGAAGCCACTTCTTTATATCTTTTTTCTTTTCTATTTTTCTTCAATTTTTTTGCACTTTTTGCTTTTTCTTTGATTTCTTTCTTTTTCTTTCTTTTCCCCACTT